GCCTGGTCCTCCACGCGCTTCAGCCGCTCATTGAGGGCCTTCAGGGCCAGCTGCCTGCAAGGCGAGGGCACACGTGGGGTTAATGCGACAGCGGCCCGGTGTCACCCCCAGCTGCCACTGTGCCACCTCCTGGGGCCCCCTCTCCCTGCAAACCCAGCCCCAGCTCCTTCCTGGGGGAAAGGAAGGGGCCTTGGGGAAAGCCAAGGGTGCCCGGGGCGCAATCACCCAACACTGCTCATACAAAGCTGCCTTGGCACACGGGGCGCTCCTGCCAGGCCGCGCAAGGGTCGCTCCAGGGAAACGGGGAAGGAAAAAGGCACCCAAAGGGGACAGGGAGAGAGGAAGCGCCAACGCCTGGCGCAAGAACAGGGCGGTGGCTTTTCCAGGACAGGAGAGCCCGGGCATGGGACTGACTCAGCTAATCAGCGGGATGAGGGCGGGGAGGAAGGCTCGGGAGGTGCTGACGGGGCCCGCAGGAGCGCGGAGCCGCCCAGGTGCCGCCCTGTCGCTGCCCAGAGGGACCACGGGCTCCGCACACAAACGTGGGCTCGTTCCCGGGATGCACAAACCACGGGATGTCCTGCGAGCTCCGCGCTGCTCCCTGCACTCCTGAGCAGGGTCAGCTCCCAACTCCCCACATGGCGAGGCCGGGAAGGCCGCTCGCCACCTCCCTAAGGACATCAGTGGTTGTCCTTCCCACTTCGGGGAGTCTCCCTGTCCCAAACACCCTGCCTGTCCCTTGTCATCAAAGCTTTACCACCACACGAAGCGGCTGTGCTTCCAAAAGCGCATCCCGTGGGCCCGCCACAGCCCTCCGGCGGCGGCCTCCCCTCCGCGGGGAAGGGGACAGCCCTGTAAGGGCAAGCCCAGCGGGCCGCCCCGCAGCCCGAGCGGTACCTTCTCCTCTCTGCGTCCTGGGGGTCGGTTCCGGGCAGGCTGATGGTGATGGAGGAAGGGGCGCCCACGTCGTAGCGCTTCACCGTCTTGCGGCAGATCCTCAGCTTCACGAGGGCGCCGTGCACCGCGTTGGCCAGCAGCGCCACGGGCGGCTGCAGCACCCCGGGGAAGAAGGTGGCGAAGGCGAAGTGCTCCGACATGTCCCCGCGCCCGCGGCCGTGCCGCTGGTAGAAGCGCAGGTACACCCAGGCGGAGAGCGCGCCGCCGGCGTACGAGACGACCGCGGCGCCCCCGCAGAGCGCCCCGGC